GATTTTTTGTATCAGGAATAGTGTGGCCAGCAGGAGTAGGGATGTGATTGTGCCCCTGTACTGGGCTCTGGTGAGGCCGCACCTCGAATACTGCATTCAGGTTTGGGCACCTCAATGCGAGAAGGACACTGAGGTGCTGGAGCGTGTCCAGAGAAGGGCAACAAAGTTGGTCAAGGGACTGGAGCACAAGTCTTATGAGGAGCAGTTGAGGGAACTGGGGTTGTTTAGCCTGGAGAAGAGGAGGCTGAGGGGAGACCTTATTGCTCTCTACAGCTACCTCAAGGGAGGCTGTAGCCAGGTGGGTGTGGGTCTTTTCTCTCAAATAACTAGCGAAAGGAGAAGAGGAAATGGCCTCAAGTTGCGTCAGGGGAGGTTTAGATTAGATATTAGGAAAAAATTTTTCACCAAAAGAGTGGTGAGGCACTCGAACAGGCTGCCCAGAGGGGTGGTGGAGTCACTGTCCCTGGAGGTGTTCAAAAAATGTAGATGTGGCACTTCGGGACATGGTTTAGTAGACATGGTGGTGGTGTGTTGACAGTTGGACTTGGTGATCTTAGAGGTCTTTTCCAGCCTTAAAGATTCTATGATTCTATGAATTTTCCAAATTTAGTTAAATGAGGCAAAACACATTTCTAAAGTCACTAGTGATATCCTGCCTCTGGATTATTAATTAGACTGAATAAGAAACATTCTTATTGTTTGAACCTGAACCTAACTCCCTGCTACTGTCAAATTTTCTGAGATTTTGACTAATGAAAGAGGCATGGCTAAAGTGTCCTGCATTGTATTAAAAATCTCAAATGTCAGACCTTTTGCATGAAAGTTACAAGGAGGAAGACTATCTGTCCTTGAACAGAAGAGTCACGAGAAACTCCTTAGCCTTTCCTTATGGGGATCTATACAGCAGGACTTGCTGTAAATATGAAGAAAAGAATGAGTCCAAACAATGTGATGAAACAGCAGGGGAGGAACAGAAAAGAAAAAGATGGAAGAAACTTAAATTCCTTTACTCATATAGTTGTTTTTTTTTTGTCTCGGAAAGGAAGCAACCAAAAATCAATACAGTTGTTTATTGGAACCTTTTTTCACTTCTACACAGTAATACAAAGAGCTTGGCTCTATTCCTTCAAGAACATAAGGACCTTAAATTGGGCGGGGGGGGGGGGGGGGAAGGGGAAGAAAAATAACAAGTTATTAGAGGAATATGTCTCCAGAAACATTTTAAACTGATTATGTAAACATCTGAAAGTATTCTGTTCTTGAGAGAATAAAAGGCCACTAGAATTTTAAAATGTAAGCATTTTGTATGTAAGCATTTATTAGTAAGACATTGATTCTACAAAATTCAAAAGGTACTGAAGTAAAACACAAAGATATGTCTGAAGATAATTCAGATTAAGTAGTGCTTTCCAATTGCCCAACTGCATAAGTCTTAAATTCCTCTAAGGTGAAAATCCTACTCTTCTCAGATATGAAGAAAAATTCCCATTTAATCCTCACATATAACAAAAGAACAGTCATGATCTAAAAAATGGACCATTTCTATAACTTTTTATGAATCATAAAAGATCTGCAAGGCTTAAAGTCTATTTGTAATGCATAAGCTTTGCGCTGTAGAAGAATCATTCAAACAAAGGGCCAAGAAAAAGAAAAAGAAAAAAAAAGGTTAATTTTAATGGTATATAATAATAACAAATTACTTCCCAGTGGATTTTTCACTTTCATTCATATTTCTGGGAAGCTATAAAATAGTAATTTTTGCCTGGTTTAGAATCCAATGATAAGAATGTTTTGAAGTAATTTTGGAGCCATAAAGTAAAATATCTAACAGAAAAAAAAAGCAAAATTATGTATTTTGATTTTATCAGTATCTGCCAGCTATAGGGGAATATAATTTACACCCTTGCACTATATATCTCATACAACATAACACAGTGCCATAACAACTTTCAGCACCACAGAACATCCTGAAATCTCCAGAATTTATAATTCAGTTAAAATAAATTCAATAAATCTATCCTTAAATAAAATTCTTGAACCAAAGACAATAAGTCAATATAAAGAATACTTCTTTATGAAGTATTGCATAAATGATGGAGATACTTGGATTTTAGCTCCCCCTTCCCCAAATATCTCACCCTCTTGTCTTGAACTGACTAAAGAGGAGGGTAAAATACTGAATAAAAAATTGTGGCAAAGAAATCAGACTGCTTAACTGGATAAATTCAATTTAAAATGTTTTCATAGGGAAAGCTCATCTATATATTGTCTATCATACCAAATATTTCCCTTCCATTTGCAGCTATAAAGACAACTGTCTTTTCTAAAAAGAATTCATTATCATTCAGTTGTCAAAGGGAAGCAATCACTGAACTCATTTTTCACTTTCAGTATTGATCATTTATTCAAAAGGAAACTAGTCATTGTTTGGAGATCAATATCAGTATGATGACATATATGAACACTGAATAAACCAGTTAAAGAAAGAAGAAATGTGAGTAAACTATGGGAAAGGAGGTTGAAAACACCCAAAGCCTGATGTAAAGTCTTCAGTCTCTGTTCACACTGTAGAATTTCAAGCCTGAGACTGACATGATATGTTGAACTCAGTTCAGATAACGTTATTTTCATTTCACTTACACTTTTGAGTCCAAGAAATAATGTAAAGCAAATAAACAAAGATTTTAAGAGTTTATTTAAAATTTTAGATTCTGTTTGGTACTTTTTATCTTCATATAAATTGTGCATCTCCCTTTCTACATACATAATATATAGTAATTATCTATTTTATTTTTCTTGAATTGCAAATGTTACAAACTACCCTTGTAAAGACATATACTATAGTATCCTTTCTTTCTGAAAAGTCAGTTAAGTGACTCATGATTAAAATATAACAAGCAGATAAAAATAAAATAAATTCTAAAAATATTTTTCAAATAGATGTAAGTACTATGGCAACTTTCAGAACTCTGTCTTTATTCTGTACTTTATTTATTTTACTTAGAAACTTAGGTTGAAAAATGTAGACAGAATCATTTCACCTTTCAAAAAAAAAAAGAGCTTACTACATTACTTTATACAGAACAAAACCATTTTGATACTTTGAAAAACATTCTCTAAGGGAAAAGAAAGACTGAAAAGCTAAACAAACGGGCCAAGTGAAGTACTAACCATATGGATACATCAAATATGGTAACTGGAATTATCTTCTAAATTCTTGTGCATCAGTTCTGAGGTCTGAAGTGTTGCTGGCTAATCAAATGTGCCACTAACATGTATAAAATTAAAGGGCACAGATGCATAAATAAATTGCATGCATTCAGATAAATTAAAAAAAAAAATAAGAATAGATAAAACTAGAAAAAATTAAAGGAAAATTTTAGCACTTAAGAGACTTGTAAAAGTTATGATCCAGATCAAGATGTTAGACTACATCTTCCATGATGCACTAAGCATAGTATCAAAACTTTTTTCACTCCTAAGTAAACATCATTTCAAAAGCCAAAATAAATTTTAATCTAAGTTTAGTTATATGTTATCTAGTAGAAAAAGGAACACATGTTCCATTCTGTGTTATCAAGAGGAATGGATTAGAAAAGCTCCTGTTCCACATACTTTACTGCTGCAACTTCTTCAAACGCATTTTATTTGAAGATTATCTTAGTGAAAAGCTTAGGAGGCCCTACTAGTGCTTGTTCAAGAAAGCTTTAGGGCTGAATAATAAAGCATACCAAAACGTGTTTTTTCTTTGCTTCTGAAGAACAACACAAGAAATACTTCCACAATATCCACCCCAATCACGGAAAATTAGTTCCAGATGATGAAAATACCTAACAACCATCAAATCTAATAGCTGTGCATGCCTATGCATTTATACCTGTGTGAAAATATGCATGTATAGAGATGGACAGAGACTCTAGCTAAATATCTATTTGCTTTCTATGTATGAGTACTAGGTGTAATACATACACACGCACATTTAAAGATAATATAAATATAATACGCCCACTCATTCTTCTTAAAAGTGTGAAGCTAGGCATAATCAACATCTGTTGCAACAGCAATACCAGATTATTATTTACTAGAAAAGTACAAAGATAACAACCCTTCTAGTAAATATGAATATTTTGATTAGCACATGTTCTGCCCATCTGCTGAAATCTTAAAGCAAATTGAAACAAGATTAGTGAATATTTTTCTTCAAGTTATTCATGCAGTTTCTGCCATCATTAGGAGGTTTCACTTGAATTAGCTATAAAATAGTCTCCCCTTCTTCCTATTTTAAGTGATAGTGATGTGCAGAATACGTTTTATCTCATTCTTTGATCAAATGTCTCTATATCAAGCAATTCACCCAAATATATGCAAAAAGGGATAATGATGTAATTTTCAAATCAACTGAAATTTTTCTAAGAGACTGAATTCAATGGGCATGACCAATTGGGAAAGCATGCTTTGAAGGACACAAAGTAATGCCTGCCTTACTCGTTTACAAGTACTTATAATGGTATCTGTTTTGACAAATATTGTATTAATTTGCTGCTTCAGTACATGTTGATAGTTTTGTCTTACTGCTTACACTTTATCGTTAATGTTTCAAGAAAGATGTACCTCTTCTTTGTGTTATATCAAATAATTTATGTGTTTACACTACATACACAGAAATTTCTCTAACACAAAGTCTCAGATCCGCTATCAGAAGAGGTCTCGCTCCTACTGATTAATGGAGATGTACATTTTGTCACAAAAAAACCCCATATTTGTTCCCAGAAATAAATTCTGAATACTACCTATTCCATGTTTTCAATAGTCTTCGTTTAACAAATTCTACATTATAGAAAACATTGATGTGAATCTACTTGCATTATGTCTTTAAAATCTGCATTTTCCAAAACAGTACTATTCAAGTGCAAAATGTCCTTATAATAAAAGGTTTACAATTTGTATAGGTAGAATTGAAATCTAAATGGATAATAGAAAGTTTCCAAAAGTTAACTTACATGATCAATTAGTTCACGAACCATTCCATTCCACTGTCCGCTGGCATCTTCCTGGGCTCCATATTTTCCATCCTCCACCAGTCTAATCTCATAGGAAAATCCAAGGATAGTAGACAGCTCCCTGAGGAGGTCAATGCAATAACCTTCAAATCGATCATTTCCATATAAGGGTTTGTCAGACTTCTTGAACATAACATATGGCTCTTCCTGCAAAAATTAAAAAGACAAAATGGATAATGAGTGCCCCCACAGTTTTCTTTTTAACCTAAAGTATTACGCTACCGTGATACTACTGCCTGTAAAAAGAACTCAAATGAAAAGTAGAATCCTTTTAGCTTTTGATTATGTCTGTCTAAAGTCTTCAAACTGAAGTTAGTCAGAAGACCCTTCTTTCTCATTTTTATTTGAAAAAATGACACTGTGAATCCTGTAGATATATCATCAAGGAATTCATAAAACCACTAAATTTAAATGTGTTCCTTTACAAGTTACATAACACATTAACATCAAATGCATTGTTTGGATGGACATTGTAAGCGTTTTAAAATGGAGAAACAATGTGCTTTGGCAACTGAAAAAAAAATTAATTAAAACCCCAAACATCAATCAAATGTTTTAAGTATTAGATTTTACACTTTTGTTTACAGAAGTATTTTAACTGCTTTCTCAATGTGTTGTTAGGTAAAGTATAGAAAACCCGCAGGAGGAGACACAAGTCAGTGAAATCACTTACTGTTCTGTTGCCTCAAGCTATAGGCTGTCATTTACAAGACTGCAGCAAAACCAGGAAAAAGTTAACTCAAAAAGCAAATTTTATGATATACATTCCATGAAAACTGAATTTATTTTCTCTAAACATTTATATTTTTGTATTTCATTTAAACTATAATGTGACATTTTTTGCAAAAAGTGATGTGCAAACAGAACTGCAAACAAATTAAAATTATTGGCATAATATTCATAATTATGGAAAGAAACAACATTTACCAAAATATAGGATTTTTACATCTGTTTCTCAATATAGGATAACCTTCCTCAAATACAAAGCTGAAGGGAAAAAGACAAAAAACAAATGGTAGAGTTTACACTACAATATGGCTCCAATATTCAAGTTGTATTTGACAGATTAAATACATTACTCAGGCTTTGTTCATGTTTTAGACAGGATTTTTTCATTTTTTACAATAATAAAAAAATAAGCTCCAAGTAAGGTAAGAAAAATGGTAGTAGATGCAAGTACTGCTCAAAATACAACTCTCAATGAATAATCAGATAAACTCTCCAGGGTAACTTAAGAAAATTCATACAGCCCTAAATCTCCATATCAGCTCTCAGTGGGGTTAAAGGCACTTCATTCTACAGGCATCTGATGGTTTTAATAACAATTAGTCAGCATTACTGACATAAACATCTATGTTGAGGTGTCCCGTGATTTAAGCATTATATCTGCATAAAACTGGAACTTTAACATATAAGATTTTACCCAAAATGCAAAGGAGAAAACAAGGAGATCTCTTCCTCTTAAAGTGTATTCAGAATATATCTGTTCCCCTGTTGCCTCTTACACTTTTTTTTTTTTTTTTTTTTGGTAAATAAAAGAAACTACTGAATCAAGACTCTGCTGAGATTCTATTTTTATATACCTCTACTGAAATTAATAACCTTACAGCCATATTTTGAAAAAAGTACACTACTGGTCTCCATACAATTAACAAGGAATATAACATGAAATAAATTGTCCAGAGAAATTACTAGGATGTTTTGACAGAAACTTTTCAAACAATAGATAGACAAATGACTCGAGGAGAGCTCTTCCAGATGTAGTACTGACAAGAACAAAGACCTGACTGAAAATATGAAAGTTGAAAACAATTTAAACTACAAGGATCATTGAATAATTCTTGAGAAGCAGAGACAGTGACAGAATCATAGAATCACAGAAACATAGAACAGTTTGGATTGGAAGGGACCTTAAAGAGCATCTAGATCCACCTCCCCTGCCATGGGCAGGGACACCTTCCACTAGACCAGGTTGCCCAAAGCCCCATCCAACCTGGTCTTGAACACTGCCAGGGATGGGGCATCCACAGCTTCTCTGGGCAGCCTGTGCCAGTGCCTCACCACCCTCACAATGAAGACTTTTTTCCTTATATCTAATCTAAATCTACCCTCCTTCTGTTTAAAACTATTACCCTTCATTCTAACACTACTTGAACAGAAAGTACGTATGAAAACTCAGACAATTTATATGAAATATCCCATTAAAAACAACTGTAAGAAAAAAAGTTTTTCAGGTGAAATGAGAATTCCTTAAAGAAAGTACACTACTGGCCAAGCAGAAATGATGCTAAGACAAAAAACAGAAAGTGTAGAAAAAAAAGCAACAAGGCTCAAATATAAATTCTTCAGTGAACTGAAACTCAGAAAGGGAAGTATGAAGGAAGTGAAATGCAACTCTGAATGTGAAGGAAAAAACAGAAAAGCAAGCAAACAAACATAAATCTTATGCAGGAACAAATGCATAAATGCCAAAGCAAAAAAATACAGTACAATGTGCAATTGATATTAAGGATAAAAAGCAACATTGTAGAAGCAAAGATAAAAGGAAGTTCTAGGAACCAGTTCATCTATTGCCCAGCAGGAAAAGAAAATCATGAAATGACATTACAAAGACAATCAAACAGTTTGATGATTTTCCTGTGCCTGTCTTCTCTGAAAAGGCTAATGCTGATCAGATAATGTACAAAATTAACACAAGAAACACATGTAGAAATGTTTAGAAAAAAAAATCGATGAGTCCTTGAACTTTAAGCATTTGCAGGAAGTTTGGACCTGATAAGTTCACAGAAGAACTTGGTTTAGCAATTTCAGATCCAATAGGAATTATCTTTTAAGAATTCATAGACGCTTCAAGGAGACTGTAAAAGGCTTATCTTTAAACTCTTCCCAATCAAAAAAAACCTTCACAAATTGGAGGAAGGAGGAATATGAAATTGTAGACTGATTAATGCAATTTTTAGAAAAAACAGTATTTTTATCCTAAGCAAATTATAAAACTATTTCATTTGTGGGAACCTAGAGGTAAGAGAATATGGAGAGGGGAAGAAGTTCTCATGTTATATGCAAAGTCATCCTGTTCTTCCTAAAAATATGAAGAAAATTTGACTGTCCAGAAGTGTGCACTTCATTGAAAGAGATTCATTATCAATATGGAAAGTCATAATAAGTGATATTCCTATATAGGATACAGTTCAATATTTCCACTTATTCTTGAACAGAAAAGATGTTAATTGGATATGTATTCACCCTATAATGGGGTAGGATCAGAATTCAAAATAGCAAGTTTCAGAAGAAAGAAGTGAAAATAAAAAAAAGGGGGGGGGCATTCAAAAGGGATTAATTAATATTTCCACACTTCAGATGAATAATAAATTGCAGAAATTCAGGAGGAAAAGAGCTGATTAGGTAGCAAATGTATAAACTTAAGTTCCAGATATTATAGGGGATCATGTACTAGACTCAACAATATCACACCATTAACTGGGCGGGGGGGAATCCTTGACCTATTTTGATCTGGTTTGAGCAGGAGTTGGGACTGGAGGATCTACAGTGGTCTCTTCCCATCAAAATTAATCTATTATTTTATATTTTTGATACTATTAATTTTTCAGTTGCTGTATTCCATTCCATTTTGACTACTACAGATCAGGAGAAAAATGAACCAAGGTCTACAAAATAATATGAGGAAAGACTGACAGAATATAGGCTGTTTCACTTAAGGAAGAACAGACTGAGAGGGAAGTGACAGTAGTCTTCCAACACATGCAAAGTTTTTGCAAAAAGGAACCAGAAAAGTTCTTTCCTGTAGAGGGGACAGGAATTAATGGCCTTAAACTTTGGCAAAAGAAATAAAGGTTAGAAATTAGGAGAGACTTTATAATGGTAACTATACTTAAGTGCCATAGTAGGTTATCCAAGAATTTGAGTGTTTTGCTAGAAGAAAAAGCTAAGCTCAATCCCTTAATCTTGTTTAAAAAAAAAAAAAAAAAAAAAAAAGGCCAAGAAAACAGCTACCTATAGCAACTGTTTCTGATGTGAAAAGAATATTCACCATCCAGGAAGTAAAATCATGACAATTGAAAAAATGTCCATTTCAGCTGTGAGGTTCTGTGTTTTGGGAATTTTCAAAAATGCCTGGAACTTCTTTATCAACAGTACTTAATTCAAATATATTATCCCATATTAAGTTTGGATTAAATACTCAATAAAGTATATTAGCTACACTTTAAATCCTAAAATTTATTTCTGAAGGTGTAAAAAAATGTGTTTCAGATCTAAAAAACCTCAGACTTGTGCTTCCCAAATATAACATTCTATGTATGCCTCTGTAGGCATTATGAAATTCCTATGTATCCTGGAATGCTCATATACACAGATCCTAGACATTTGCTCTCTGAGTGGTTCAGATATTTACAGAGTAACACATCCCCCAGTCTCTCTGGAATCTTGACAAGAATCTTGACAAGTTTTTTTCTATCTTCTATTCCATGCAATCCTGAATTATATGGGGCAAAATTTAAATATCTGCGATATCAGAGAGGCAGTATAATTGCCAATTCATGCTTTTGTGTCTCCTTTACTAAGTAAGGTCATCAGGATTTTCTTCCTTGAGCCATCCAGCTCATCCATGCATTCTTGCATTTTTTCCTGTAAACTCATTGCAGTAATCCTCAATTGCTTTATCTGTTCTGCCAATGCTTTTTTACACTATGTTAAATAAAATCTTGAAACACTTTCTGGAATTCATAGCTCTAACTCCATACTCTTTTATTATTCTTTAGCCATCTTGGATAGGGGCTACAATAGTCTCTATGCTACTATTTAATAATTATAATATTTTTTTAATGGGGAATAAAAAGCTTTTGCTGAGAAGATTGATCAGTGAGTTGTTAATACTTGCAATACTTTCACAATCCTTACATTAAGCCATTACTTAATGGTTCTTACTACTTTTTCTTATAGTCTTCCACTGTCCAAAATATTTGCTTTTTCTCTTCAGACCTTTTATCTGCCATGTAAAGCATTTTCTTACTTAGCTTCAACAGGATCAATCTTTGATTTATCAGGAAGTGGTTTTTGGCAGCTTCATCCGTGATAGCTCTTATTAATGCTAAAGTTTTCTCTAGTTCTTCTCTTTTTCCTCTGGT